TTTCATTTCTTTGTTTTTAGCGCTTTTGAAAATTTGCTTCCGTTACGTGAAGAAACAAAACAATTTATTATCATTCTATAAATGTTTTGTTCGTTGAGTCGCGAAAAAACGCCACGTAAAATACAACATATATTCATGTTGTAAATTGCTTGCCATACTTTTTCGTAAATGACACTATCATACTTCTTTGAGAAAATAAAGGTAAAATTTCTTAAAAACTACCTTTTTCTAAGTTTGACAGTATTTTTGACAGACTACTACTGTGAAAATACATTTTTGATCCCACATGCAGAAAAATGGTGTTTTTAAATAACAGTCCTCTGCTATCTGAAATCGCCACTTTTAAGCATTAGGAATAAAAAATATCGTATGTAACACGGAAACAAATGCAGCCAAAAAAAATATTTAAAAAAAATAAAAATAATAAAAATATTAAAAATATAATAATAATAATAATAATAATAACAATAATAATAATATTTTTTTTTTTGCTTAGGGACTTTTGGGAAATCTGCCTACAGATTCCTTGGATTCCGCACTCCAAGGTTATGTGGGGTTGGTAAAATGAAACAAAAGGAAATATTAAAAAAAAGATAAATAAATTAATGTTATAATAAATTTAATAAACTGGCGACCTACTACCAGCCCGACCCACTAAAACCCGTAACCCTTCTTCTGGAGCCCTTTACCCTCCCTCGGAACTGTCGTAAGACTTTAGCCTTCGAGGGTGGCGCTCCAACTCTGTCGCTAATGCGACCTTCTTCTTCTCTCTGCGGTTTTCCTGCGTCCGTAGTTAAAAAAAATGATTAAAACTATTTCATAGTCTAAGCGGAATTTACAGCACAACAATAATAAAAAAACAAAATTATTTAAGAAGTGTTAAAAGTCAAAAGATAAAATCGCAAACGGATATAAAAAAGAAAAGAAAAAAAAGTAAACAGGTATATAACTTTGAAAAGACAAAACTGTACAAAAACGAATAAAAAAAACAAAACAAATTAAAAAATGTAGAAGGACAAATGAATCACAAAATAAATTAATAAGAAACGTATTTAGAGCTTTAGAAATATTAGATATATATATTATATTATTATTAGTATATTATATTAGATAATACGTCCTTTAGAGCTTAACTTTGTTTTATTTCTCAATTCGCGGGAATACTCCATAGTGGCAAGTAGAAATTTCAAAAATTGTATTTGGCTCCTTTTAACTGCAAGTATTAAATATTTTTAAAAATATTATTGTACTATTAAAATTGTTTCTATTATGAAATTAGTAATTTTTAAATAATGAAATAGAATTGATCATTCGTTAAATGAATTAGTAAGCGTTTTATGCAGTTGGTAGTAGAAAACTACTACTTCATTTGTGACGCGATCTGAAGAAAGCGAAGAAAGGGACCTTAGCATGCAACATTAAAGTAACATAACGTGTTACTTTGGTTCTTTCATATTTATATGTAGATATATGCATTTAATTGAAATTTTTATTTATTTCATTTAACTGAGTGTAATATCACAGTAATATTATCGCGTAATAATACTGTGATGATACCGTAATATTACCAGCAGGTCGTTTTTTAATATAAATGTAATATTACGTGCTACATCAAAAGTGAACTGAAATTAAGATTTTCTTTTCTGCAAGATACATTTTATGTTTGTATCTCGTGATTCGTAGGTGCAGGTAGTAGGGCTTTTCGAAGTGAAGTTAGATTTATAATAAAGGGTCTTCAAGTAGGGCAGTACTGTGTTGTCATATAGCGCTTTCTCTCTTACCGACAGCGCTAAAAATAATTTGGTTTCATTAGGTCGTTTTTGCTTATGTTAAAGCAAACATATCAGTTTTGCTTTAAAATTTTCAGTATATTTAAGATTAAATATTTTTTTAAATTAAATATATTTATCAAAACAAATAAAATTTTTAATCTAAATTAGTTAATATTTTTTAAAATTGAGATTGAATTCATAGCAAGTGTTAAACTTAAGAAAATTATTCAAATTTATTCTTCTACTCAAATTAGGTTTAAAATATTATTTATACTTTTTGTAAAATTATCTAATTTCCAATCAGTTAAATTTCACTGTAAATCAGTAAAAAATAATTAAATATCAGTTATTTTTTAATAATTCGTCATTAAAAATTTCATTAAGTGGAATTTCTTTGTTCCATATTTAGAGAATGTATCTTATATTTTATATATATTTTATTTATATTTTTTTATGTATGTATATATATGTATAAAATTTTATATTCATAAAAAATTTTATATTTTTATATATGTACACACATTTTTTATATTACAAAAAAAATCAAAAAGTTTTAAGTATAAATTTATACTTAAAGCGCAGGCGCATGTTTAAACTAGAAAAATAATATACAATTAAAAATCTTGTAAGGCTTTAAGCAAAACTAAATTTTATCTCAGACTTTGTTAGATGCGGAGCAGAACTTGTCGACATAAATATGACAGAACTTAAAAGTTCTTAAATACCAAATCTAACATATACCTAACATATACTAAATCCAAACAGATTCTGAATTCTATCTCAGACTTTGTTAAACTCTGAGCAGAACTTGTCGGTTTAGATATGATAGAACTTAAGAGTCCTTAAATATACTATACCAAAACCTTACAGATTCTAAGTAGAATTTGTAGGTATTGAAAGTATCTATTTAGAACTTATTGTACTCTAATAGATTCTAAAGCAAATTTAAATTTCGACTCGGGGAATCTTCATTCCTATTGGCTTTCCTTTTTGAAGATTTTCTAGTTGAATTTACTATGGCGGGTTTAATTTTGCCATTTTCAGTTATCTCTATTGCGCCTGATGCACTTTCTTTCAAAATTTTTGTAATCTCTGGAATATGTACTAAAACAAATTTATCTAGTCTTAAGGGTAGGCCCACATTTCGAAACTGGCGATTTTTTAAGTCATTAAAAAATAATTCGGACGCTGCTGACGTTGCATTAATGTATCCGAACTGTCCTAATTCCCGCATTATGTCAATGAATAAAGGAAAGTACGGAAGAAGATCTTTTACCTTCTTTGCAAAAGCCGGCAATTTATATCCGTTTACTTCATCATCGTATAAAATTATTTCTTCGTCAGTTTCTTTTTTGACTGTACTATAAAGTTGATCGACCCACTTTTCGATAGAAGAAAATTCATTACTATTGTCCTTTTCGAATGTCAAATCATGTTCTTCTAATTTCTCGAATTTCTCGGGTTCTGACAATATTTCCTTAGGTATATCCTCCTTAACACCTTTTTTTCTTTTAAAAATTCCATGGCCTTATACCCAAGACTTCCTTTTTTAATACTTCTAGTGAGAGAGAGCGTCAGTATAGAAAGAGCTATTTCTTCGAAGTCTTTGAAATTTTCTTATCTTCGTAACAGGCACATTGACCTTAAGTACGTAATACGCACTCCTGGTTAATGATTTGGATAGCACTTCCACCTTGCTATTATATTCGTAAAATGGCAAATATCTAAACGAACCATGCAAGTTGAATCGTCGACAATTTTATTGATAATTTGATCAAAACATATATTTAAGTATCACTTTGTGCTTCGTCCTGAACAAAAAGCTCGGGTAACTGCACGTAAGAAAGCTTTATCAAAATCAATAACATTTTCTTTTGCTATCGGATAATTCTTATTTTCAATTGCACCAACTCGTAAGAATTCGAGTAAAAAGTTTAAAATTGCGACAGTTGTTTGGCTAGCAGACAACATGTGGAAAACTGGCACAGTTTTATTGTTTACCTCTACTACTCCTTGATACAAATAGATGTGGGAGCACAGTTCATTATTTAGTTGTAACAGTTTTTTAACACAACTTTCGGTTCCGTCGATCCTTAATTTTTCACAGAATTTTTCAAAAATTAGCTGTTGTTCTTTTGTCCAGTAGTGATCGAAAAGTGGATCAAGTCCAACGTTTCGAATTGCACCCTCATATTTATCACTATATTTCAAAGCTAATAGATTATCAAAAATATTGGAACCTTTGAGACCCAGAGATTTGTTAATTCCTTCTTGCCTCGCTTTTCTAAATGTATTCTTCTTAAACAAATTATTTTATCTCCCACCTTTTGAATCAATATGTGCGCCTCATTCCGCCTGTATTGACAGGCTAATAAACTTCGATCAATTATTTCTTTGACCACAGCTTCTCTTAATTTGCCTCGTAAAGGCCGTTTTTTAATGTGGTTGGTTAATTGTCGGATCAAAATTTCAAATTATGCAGTCTAACAACAGAATTTCCTTCCTGTGGTTCTTCAAGAATTCGACCAAAAAATTCACTGTGACATTTGAAACATGAAGCATTTTTGCAAAAATTGTTTAGATTGAATATTTTTCGATATTTGTGAAAAATAAATTTAATAAAAAATTTCTTTGACGGATATTTATTGTGCTCGTCTAGCACAATACAGCACAATTGCTATTTTTCTGAAATTTAAATTTTTAAGAAAATCTGGGACCAAAATAGCTTTAAAAAATTGTAATGATTGGAGATTTTTCGATATATTATTTCTAGTATATCACTTTATATTTTACTGTGTGTTTTATTATAGTATATTATGTTAAACTATATTATATTGCATTATAGGAATTTATGTTATGTTATATCATCTTATATTATATCATATTATTACATTATCACATTATATTTTATTGAATGTTACATTATGCTATATGAAATTCCGTATTATCGTATCTGGCATTGTGTTCTTTTAATACATTATATTATATCTACTTTTAATCAATAGAGCTGTATATATTATATTATATATCATATTATATTATATATATTATATTATATATATTATATTATATTATATTATATTATATTATATTATATTATATTATATTATATTATATTATATTATATTATATTATATTATATTATATTATATTATATTATATTATATTATATTATATTATATTATATTATATTATATTATATTATATTATATTATATTATATTATATTATACAGTCAAACCTGGATAAGCGAGAGTTCAAGGGACCGACAACTTTCTCTCGCTTATAGAGGTTTCTCACTTACCCAGTTTTCACTTACAGAGGTCTAAAAGCAAATTTTTCTCACTTACAGAGGTTTATGAAAAAATGTTATTCAAATTAATATTTTATTGTACATAATTATATAATTTATTAGTTATTTTCTTTTAGTTCACATTATCATTATCATTTATTTAAAATGCTTAAAAAAGTCAGTCATTTTCGTTTGTTTTTTTATTCTAATATTGTCAACTTCTTTCTCTAGAGCATAAATTTTATTGAAAACAGACTTATCAACATTTTTAGAAAATTCCAAGAAACGATGAACAGTCTCTAAAGCTTTTAAAGTTTCTTGTTTATTTGGAAAAAGTTCTTCTCTTTTAGTCAAATTTTTGTTTTCTTCATTATCATCTTCATTATCATCATCATCATCATCGTCATCATCATCATTTTTGGCCGTGGTTAAATTGGCTATTATGTCGTTATCCGTGAGTTCTCCTGTAACTGTCACATTGTCATCTACTCTAACAAAATCTTCGAAAGTTGGATTTTCAATGTTATGTTCACAAGGCAAGAGTGTATTCCAATCCTCGATACTAGGGACTTCAACATCATCTTCTTCTGTCTGGTTTCCCACGTCAGTGCAAAATCCAGCTTTTTTAAAGCAATTCTTGATGGTGACGTCGCTTATTGAGTACCATGCTTTGCTAGCGAACTTTATAGCCAGAAGTACGTTTATTTCAGGCTTCATATTTTTTTCTAAACATGTCAAAACATGCTTCACCACTTCTTTGCGATAATGTCTCTTAAAAGCATGAATTACTCCTTGATCTAATGGTTGCAAGTGGCTGGTAGTATTGGCAGGTAAAAAAATAACATTCACATTTGCGAGAGTTGGTAAATCTGTATGTGCAGTGCAATTGTCCATAAAAATAACAATTTTTTTTTTTTGGTCTTCATATTTTTATCAATTTTCTGTAGCCACCCTTTAAATATTCCTCTTGTCATCCAAGCTTTTGAGTTGCTTTCATAATCTACAGGTAGGGTTTTTACACCTGCAAGTAAAAATTATGTATTGAATTTTAAGATAATAAAAGACTTGACTGGACTTAAAAGTAAAAATTACTCTCATCATTTTTTGACAGGTAAAATAGTTAAAAATAAGGTTTAAGACGAGTTTCAATTTTATCGTTTTAAAAGACTCAGTTTAAGTCAGCAAAAGGCTAAAAACTTGCAAAATCTTGCGAACCGTAGTTTTATAACTAAAAGAAATTTCAAACAAAAAAATTTTTATAATTTTAATAAAAAATTAATTTTTTTGTTACTTTTCAATTAAAATAGGAAATATAATACACAAGAACATATAAAAAACAAACCTTTAAAACATCGAGGTCGTTTTGATTTTCCAATGACGAGTAAAGGCAATTTATTTGTACCAGTCATATTTGCACATTGAAGAATAGTAATACGTTCCTTACTTTGTTTTCCTCCGTGGCACTTTTCTCCTTGAAAGGCAAATGTTTTGTTTGGTAAACACTTAAAAAACAAACCAGTCTCGTCTGCATTATAAATGTCCTCTGGGTCATATTCTGTTAAAAGATTCGGTAGATCTTTAGTCCACTGATTGCATACACGTACATCCACAGATTTGCTTTCTCCAGATAATGTCTTAAAAACTATATCATGCCGTCTTTTAAAACCCTCAAACCAGCCGTTACTAGCTGAGAAGTCTTGTATTCCTATTTTTGTCGCAAAATCTCTGGCTTTTTCTTTTAATAACGGGCCATCCATGGGAATATTTTTGTCGCGGATTTCTTTTATCCATTCTATGTAAACAACGTTGGTTTGGACTCATTTTCCTTTTTCGCATCCTAGGAAAGAAATCTACCCCTACCAGGGACAGATTTTTTTATAACCTTTCAGCGAATATAAAAAGCGAGCGGTCCAGACCATCGTCCATAGTAATTTTTCGCCCACACCAAGTGTTAGTGTTAAGTGAAATAAAGTGGTCGCCTAGAAAATTCTGGTCGAATTGTCAAAACGGAAGAACAAAATCGCCGAAATCTTAAGCGTTTAATGTTCAGGAAGGAAAGCACTTAAGGTAGCCCGACGAGTGGCTCGCGGAGAACTACCCCACTGCAGTGTTCCAGTTCAACCAGTAAAAGAATATTTCACGGACAAGGAGAACAATAATTTAAACAACCAAGGCCCGATCGAGAACGTGCCGCTCCCTGTCTCAACCAAGGTTGGGCCATCAATCCATTCCATCGTCCAGATCACCCCTCCGTACTGCGACTTCCGGCCGCTCCCATTAACTCCTCAAATCGCCCTTTCAGCGCCTTCTATCAGGTACCCCCAGAGGGGGGAGCCAGTGGGCTCCAACCAACCTTTTGGGTTCCCTAGTGATCCCGGCACCTTCCGGACCAACATCATCCAGACCAAACTACTAAATAAAGGCTTACGGGAGGAAGCACAAAAATGGTGGTCCACGTACAACCACTTGTCACTTCCTTGGAAAGATTTTGTCGAACTGTTTATGAAGAAATATGCAGGAACGACGGCCGTCATGAGACTGCAGGCTTCTTTCTATTCCCAAAAACAGGGAGAAAATGAACCGCTTGCTGTTTTTCTTCAACATAAATATTTGTTGGCTAAACGATTGAACGTTTCACTCGCCTCGGCAGATCTCGCTACTTTGCTATTAGAGTCACTCAAACCAACCCTTCGGCGGTTAGTGCGACCAACCAATCCCAATTCCTTTGCCGAGATTCTCGAAGCAGCTGTCAAGGCTGAACAAGATAAAGCTGATTGAGTTCCTCGTAAACCATCGGTGGTCAAGGAGGAACCTCCCCGCCGATCAACTTTGGAACCCCAAAGCGCAAAACAACCACAGCGGTTACCTCCATGTCATTATTGCCCGGAAAATCATTATCACCGGGATTGTCCAGTTTTCAAGGCTCAAAGAATTCCTTCGGCGCCGGAAAACTGGCGAGACCTGGCAGGGGCAAACCCCCAACTCCCGTCGATGTCAATCACCAATCTTAAGTTCCATTTATTCCACTTCCCAGAATCTGCCACAAGCCCACGTACTGCTCAAAAACTTTCCACGCACACAGATTCAGAGCGCTCTCAACTCTACCCTGACCCTGTGCAGGCCCAACTCGCTGCCAAGGGAACAGCTATGACATTACATGGTAGTATTCCTCTCTGCCCTTCTTTAGATCCTCATATCCTGTCTCATTCCTGACATGCGAAGATTTACGTGCAGATTTGATCCTGGGCAGAGGTTAGCTCGAAGATCATGATGTACATCATGTTGACAAAGAGATTGCTTATATTTAGGCCGCCAAGACCGCCGTCGTGTGTATCTGACAAGTAGCCGCCTCACCACCCCCACTCAAGAGTTGTAGTTCAACCTTTCTCCCTCCATCCCTAACCAGTATAGCTTACGCCTCAAGGACACTGTACTAATGTATGTAACGGTGTTTTATACGACGGCTCCTCTGCGACAAACCACTGCCGTGTATCATGAAATCCGCATTTCCGATCCGAAACCATTTAGAGAAGATTCTTGACGATATTCCATAAAGAAAAAGAAATTTATTGAGTCTGAAAGAAGAGAAATCCTTGCGGATGGGATCATTGAACCTTGCACCTAATGGTTTAGTTCGGCCATCGTCGTTGTGGAAAATCACGGTAAGTTCCGGTTATGCGTCGATTACCGACGTATAAATGATCAAACCGAAGACGCGCCCCAATGTCTACCTCGTATACACGAGGTGATCAAAGCTCTAGGGACGGCCAAAATATTTTCCATGTTTGATTTAAAGAGTGGTTATTGGCAAATACCCTTATCTCCCTAATCAAAAAAGTTCACAGCATTTTCTACACCGAACGGAGGCCATTATCAATATAGAGTCATGCCCTTTGGATTGAAAAATTCGTCCGGCAGCTTTCAGAACCTAATGCGCACTGTACTAGATAACTACTGGGGTACATTTTGCATTGCTTACTTAGACGATATAATCGTTTATTCCCACACTTGAGAAGATCACATTCGACACGTTGGCCTTGTACTAGAGAGAATCCTGATCTTTGGCCTTACCTGTTTTCTACCCAAGTGTCGTTTCGGTGAGAATAGTTTGCCCTACTTAGGCCACGTTATCTGTTCCGACGAAAATCAAGCTCAACCTAGACACATAGATTCGGTGCAGAGCGCTGTCACATCCCGGAATCGACGAGAACTAGCCTCGTTTTTGGGGACTTGCAACTAGCTAATGGAGTATGTGCCTAATTACGCCGGCCTCACGGCCCCCCTTACCGATCTGATAATCCCTAAAAATGCTTATAACTGGACTTCTGTTCATCAAATCGCGTTTGAGGGGGTGAAAGCAGCTTTCCTCAAACCCGCCACATTAAGCAGACCGGACCCCGGTCTGCCATTCGTCCTACAGACAGGTGTAAGTGAAATAGGGAAGCTTTAGTTCACGGGAACAAAATTTTATTGTACATAATCGCATTGATGAAAAAGGTATGTGGAGGTGTTGCCCCATTAATTGTAACTGGCAACTCCGTGATCCAAATGCACTAAAAGAGAGAGTCATCAGGGAATATCACGACGAACCTCTGGCAGGTCACCCCGGAGCAAAGGAGGTATTGGAGGTATTGCACCATTAATTGTAACTAGCAACTCCGTGTTCCAAATGCACTAAAAGAGGGTCATCAGGAAATATCACGACGAACCTTTGGCAGGTCCCCCCAGAGCAGAAGAAACCACCCGATCCATTCAAACCCATTTCTTTTGGCCAGGAATGGGTCGGAAAATCAAAAGATACGTTGCCAAGTGCCACCTATGTCTCTGTATCAATCCAATGAATCATAAACCTTGCATTGGTCAACAACCTCGCACTCCTCGCACCACCTGGGATATAGTGGCTCTCGACCTCATGGGTCCCTACCCGTTAACAAAGCGAGGTAACAGATTTTTACTTGTAGTTACCGATTTATTCACACGATGGACGGAACCTTTTCCGATTAGGAATTCCTATGCTCCCACAATTATAAAATTATTAGAAAGTGAAGTCTTTCCTCGGTTCGGATACCCTCGAAAAATGGTCAGCTATAATGGCTCTCAGTTTTGCAGCCATCTATGGGCCAATGCTGGCCACAGATGGAAATTGCACCCTCTGGACGACTCCCGAGTACCTCCTGATGGCTAATCCAACGGAACGTAGGGAACCAAGAAATTAAAAAGGGACTTCGTCTTCGTCTTACCGACGGAAACCAACAAATCTGGGACGAACAGCTACCGTCACTGCTTTTTGGACTTCGGCGCCGGAAAAATGCGGCTACTGGTTTCTCACCCAGTTCACTTCTGGTTGGTCACGAATTACGCTGACCCGGCGACTGGCGTTTCTCCCCACAACCAGATATTTCCTTTTAGGATCGAGAAAAATTGGCAAGATCAAACCAGCTGTCTTATCAGCAAAGATATGCACGACTGATCAGTTAGCCACACTATAATCCAGGGGATTTAGTATCACAAACTTACGAATCCAGCCAACCGATTTAATGCTAAACTAGCCCCAGCCAGACTAGGGCCTTATCAAGTTATACAAACAATTTCTCCAGAAGTGTTTTTGGTGCAAAAAGAAGATGGACCTCATAAAATCCACTTATCGGAGCTAATTCCTGTTCCACAACAGATTCAATCACTTATTGAACCTACCAAGGAAATGCGTGAAAATTATCACAGTACAAATGCAGGACGCTCACAGTCTTTTCCGGTGACATTCTTGCAACGAGCTTAGACCAATAAGGGCTAAGACGTGGCCTAACCGCTAAACGCAAGAAATTTATCGGAAAAACCGGTGAAACTGCTACCGGAAAAAGGCATGAATTGAAGTCACGAGGAAAAGCCTTGTTTTTTCTCTCCAAAATGTAGACTGAAATTTACATTACTTATACTGCGTGCAGCGGAGCTCTTGGAAAAAATATGCATTACAAAAATGGCTCCTGTTCCGCCATTTTGGAATACACTATACTGTCCACGAGTATCAGGACGATTACAAGCGACTCTATAAAAAAAACATGCCATCACTTTTTTAATCATATCTCGTAAATAAAAGGAGATACAAAAAAACTTAAATACGGTAAGAAAGCGGATTAGGGGGACATTCCAGTTCAAAATGTCAAAAAAATCGATTTTTTTCGGATTCCTTATAGTGTCAAGAATACTCTCCTAAAATATTTTTTCAAAATTCGAAGTAAAACAAAAGTTATACATCCTTATTCTTCGCCATGTCAAAGATGTTTTTGTATGCGGATATACAATCGAATGATTTAAATGTTTTCTAATTTACATTTTTTAAAAAAGACAAACAAAAATTTATTTGGTGTTGCTGATCACAAATTAGATATCAAATTTTCAAAATTTAAAATGGCGGATCCAATGCGGCGGAAAAGAAAATTCAAAATCAAGTGGATTTGCTTGAAAATTGTTACTCGGGAGTTTTTGGGGTCGCTGATTACGAATATGATATCAGATTTTTGGAATTCAAAATGGCGGATCCAATATGGCGCACTTTTTTTTAAATCATCGGATTTGTTTGAAAATCGTTACTGGGGGGTTTTTGGGGTCGCTGATTACGAAACTGACATCAGTTTTCCAAAATTCAAAATGTCGAATGCAATATAGCGGACGAAAAAATTTTTTTATTTTAATTTTGTCGTCCACCATATTGCATCTGCCATTAATGGCAGATGAAGAACTATGAAATTTTTTTTTAATTTCTAACATTTTTTGACCCCGGGACAACCCAGAAATACACTAAATTAAAAAACATCCTTACTATTTGTAGAGCAAAAA